GGTAGATCACGAGGTCAAGAGACGGAGACCACCAGCCTGGCCAACATGCTGAAACCCCGTCTCTACTAAAAATACAAAAATTAGCTGGGTGTGGTGGCAGGCACCTATAATTGCAGCTACTTGGGAGGCTGAGGCAGAAGAATTACTTGGACCCAGGAGGCAGAGGTTGCAGTGAGCTGAGATCGCACCACTGCACTCCAGCCTGGGCAACAGCATGAGACTCTGTCTCAAAAAAAAAAAAAAAAACCAGTTAGAAAAGGAATAGCAAAATAGACCCAAAGAAACTTAACAAAAGAAAAAAAAAGTGCATAAATAAATGAAATGAAAAACATATAATACATACACTAAGAGGTTATCAAAACTAAAAGTTGGTCCTTTGAAAAGTCCAGTAGATTGGAACAAACCTAAGTCAAGATTTGACAGCTTAAAAAAAAAAGTCATTAAATACATTAGAGTGGAAATTAAAAAGGCTCATTAGCATACATACTGTGGACTTATAAAGACAATAAAATATTATGAACTTTGTGTCAACAACTTTTAAAATTGAGATAAAATTAATAAATTCCTACAAACAGAAAATGCTCCAAGGCAACTTCAAAGATATATTAAAAATAAAAATAGTTTTCTAATTGTTTTTTAAACATTGAATTACCAGTTAAAACTCTTCCCACAAATAAATCTTCAGGCTTAGACGGCTCCATTAGTGAGTTTCATCAAAAATTTACAAAGAAAATAACTCCAATCTTGAACAAGCTCTTTCAAAAATATAAAAAGAGAGAATGCTCCCCAATTTTGTAAGAATCGCAAACTGGACAATAAAAACAACAAAACAAAAACAACCCCCAAATCGAGGAAAGTTACAGGCCAATTTCACTCAAAAACATATCCAGAATCTAAACAAAATATAAGCAAACAAAACCCAGCAGTATATTCAAACAATGCACAACTCAGATTTACCTCAGAAGGTAAAGATGATTTTAAAAAACCATTAATGTAATTCACTACAATAACAGAATAAAGAAAAAGTCTTTGATCATCAGTAGAGAAAATCATATAATCATCTCAACACAGAAAAAGGTCTTTGATAAAATTCAGCATCCATTCATGACAAAAAGAAAGCACCGTTAGCAAACTAGAAATAAAAGGGAACTTCTTAAACCTGATAAATAGTTTCGACAAAACCTACATCAAATAACACACTAAATGAATGCTGAAAGCATTCTCTTCGGGATTAGTAATAACACAAAAACGCCTTCTAAACCACTTCTATTCAGTATTGCACCAGAGGGGCTAGCCAGCGTAGTAAGACACCCTCCGCCCTGCAAAAAGTATGATTAATTTTCAAAAGTATAAGGTATGGAAGAGAAGAAAGAAAGCAGTCATTATTTGATGATCAGATAATTATTTATAGAAAATTCAAAAGAATCTCAGTATAAAGTACTAGAATTAAGGAACAATTTAAGCAAGATGACTACACAGATAGTGGACTAAAATACAAAAACTATTTGCATTTCCATACACTAGTAACAAATTGTTAAGAATTATAATTCAGGGCTGGGCGCGGTGGCTCACGCCTATAATCCCAGCACTTTGGGAGGCCGAGGAGGGTGGATCACGAGGTCAAGAGATCGAGACCATCCTGGCCAACGAGGTGAAACCCTGTCTTTACTAAAAATACAAAAATTAGCTGGGCATGGTGGCACGTGCCTGTAGTCCCAGCTACTCAGGAGGCTGAGGCAGGAGAGTTGCCTGAACCCAGGAGGCGGAGGTGCGGTGAGCCGAGATCGCGCCATTGCACTCCAGTCTGGGTAACAACAGCGAAACTCTGTCTCAAAAAAAAAAAAAAAAAGAAATATAATTCAGAAAATATTCCATTGCCCAACATCATATGTTTACCAAAACTCATCGAATTGTACGCTTAAAGTAGGTGTATTTTATTGCATGTAAAGTACATCTCAAATAGCTATAGGAAAAAAGATATTACTAATACTTTTTGTAACAGCAATTACAAATGTCAAGAGAAACGAAAATTAATCTAATATATAAACACTTTTCTGGGGAAAAATTATAAAACTTTACTTAAAGGTATAAGAAGATATTTAAATAACCGCAAAGACACATTCATGGAATGAAAGCTTTAATAGCATAAAGATGTCAATTCTCCCCAATTCGATCTTTAGAGTCAATGAATCTCTGATCAAAAATCTCAACAACATTTTATGAGGAACTCAATAAGATAAGTCTAAAATTTATATGAAAGAGCAAAGAGCGGCCGGGCACAGTGGCTCAAGCCTGTAATCCCAGCACTTTAGGAGGCCAAGGTGGGTGGATCACGAGGTCAACAGATTGAGACAGTCCTGGTCAACATGGTGGAACTCCATGTATTTTTTTGTACTAAAAATACAAAAAATTAGCTGGGCATGGTGGCGCGTGCCTGTAATCCCAGCTACTCAGGAGGCTGAGGGAGGAGAATTGCCTGAACCCAGGAGGTGGAGGTTGCGGTGAGCCGAGATCGCGCCATTGCACTCCAGCCTGGGTAACAAGAGCGAAACTCCGTCTCAAAAAAAAAGAAAGAGCAAAGAGCAAATAATAGACAAGACACTCAGGAAAAAAGTAGATTACTGAGTCTCTTATGGTAATTAAGACAGTGAGATATTGGCGTAGGGACAGACAATTTGACCAAAGGAGCAGAACAAAGAACCCAGAAGCCAGCCTGTGCATATTTGGAAACTTCGTTTTTGACAATAGTGGCACTGTAGTCAGTGGGGAAATGATGGATTACCTAATAAACGACCCCGAGACAAGTTATTATTCAGATGCAGAAAGCGAGGGGCTGGGGATGAGAATTGGATATTCTACATCACACCCCACACAAAAATCCACTCCAAATGAATTAAAGACATATGAAAGGGCCATCTTTAAAACCTAAAGAAAAAAATAAGGAGAAAGCCACTATCATGTGGGGGCAGGGAAAGATTTTTTTTTTTAATTCAACACGAAAAACACTAACCAAAAAGGAAAAGGGTTAACAGATTGAACACAAAAAGGGATTATAGGCAACAAATAAATTGTGCTATGGAGCACTGTGTAGGGGTGGGGATCGTTTTTTCCCCAAGAACAAAAAGAAGGCAATGAGAAACCACAGGAAAAACAACAACAACAACTTTACAAGAAAATCAATCAGTTAACAAATCAATAGGAATGATTTTCGGCAATCAACAGTAGGTACAAAAGAGCCCAGTGAACTCCAATGACGGAGTAACTGCACAAAAGGATCCACCAAATCGCAGCACACTATGTAACTCTGTAATGAAGGATACTAACTGTAAATGCCATTATTTGGTTTTCAACTATTAGATTTAACCCTTAATCAACCTCAGAAGACTTAGTTATGGTTATAGAAGAGAAGAGAAATATTATCAGCTTTGACAATATTAAAATAAGGACACAGATGACAGACATTAGGAAGCAAAGGAAAAGTAAACAGAAAGTGCTAATTTTCTCAGTTGACAAAGTGGAAGTCAAAAAGAAGTTACAAGAAATCGAGTTTTTAAAATATTATTTAAAATTAAAAAGGTAACCAACTTTAAAATGGTGATATAATTATAAAAAACAGGGATGGGTTGGTATTCAGAGTTAGAAGTGAGGTTGACTTCTTACAACACAAGTCAGTCAATAATGTCTACAACTGGCTGGGCACAGTGGCTCACACCTATAATCCCAGCACTCTGGGAGGCTGAGGCAGGTGGATCACTTGAACCCAGGAGTTCAAGACCAGTCTGGGCAACATGGTGAAACACCATCTCTACTTAAAAAATTTTTTAAAGTCAGCTGAGCATGGTGGCCTGAGCTTGTAGTCCCAGCTACTTGTGAGGCTGAAGTGGGAGGATTGCATTTGAACCTGGGAGGCAGAGGTTGCAGTGGGCCAAGATCACGCCACTGTGCACCAGCCTGGGTGACAAAGTGAGACCCTGTCTCAAAAAATAAGAAGAATGATAATAATGTCTAAAACTGTTAAGTCAAGAAACGGTGCTCCCAACATATTATTTAGAAATATGGAGATAACTTAGTAGACTTAAAACCCAAAGGACAGTGAAGTGTGGGAGGGTATGTAATGAATAAATACATTCATTACAACCTCTTCTGTGTGACTGAATTTTCAATTCACATACATGGATTATTTTAATAGTTATAAAAAGATTTCTAAATAATTGAAAGAAAACAGGAAAAAGATCAAGATTCTCTAGAGCTCATTTAGTTAAACTACCTTCCACCTGGCAGGTAAAAGAAAATGAATGCCCACTCCAACAGAAAAACTTCTAAACACCTGATAAAGATTCATGATCCAAAACCCTACCAAATTTATTCATCAGGGAAGCATAGTATCAACATTTAATTCAGAGTGAAGAAAGCAGTTTAGAAGCTGAATCTCATCCTTCACTGTTTCTCTTCCTCCCCTTTTCTCTTTCTGTTTCTCAACTTTCTTGTTCCCATCTAGCTTTGCTTTACTTAGCATGAATATTCAACTAAATATACATACAAAACACCAGTTTTATTTATAGAATATAGTCTTATGTTTCCTAATTTTGTCTCAATACAAAAAGAACAAATTAAGTTGATTTTCATTTCCATGTTGTCTAAATTAATTTAAGTCTCTATGAGCATTACTGCTATAGAGAAAAAGATTTCTACCACTGATTTAAGGAATGAACCCAAAACAACAAAAGGCAACCCAGCTAAAACCAGAAGAGTAATTACTCTTCAATGGACTCATGTTTCTGGAGACTGCCATATTACTCAGGCTTCAGGAATCAGGAGCTAGATTTCCATGAGGTTACGGTGATTTACAGAGAAGAAAGCCTGAAGTCTAAGTTCCCCCAATAGAAGGTAAAAACCCAGAAGTTGAATGTTCATGTTAAGTGACGTCTGGTTTTGATCCACAGAATTTCACAAGGCCCCCATTTCAGTGTGATTCACATCCACAGCAGGTATATACTTACACTATATGTGCAAGGTCAAGTGGTTTCTCTGGTTGCTCAGGAAAAACAGGATGCGGGGGTTCTCTTGTGGGTACACACCCCAAAGATTTACTAATTGCATGGCTCAGCTTCTTTGCAGGAGATTTCTGTGTCAAATCAGAAAATAATAAGGAATCAACTCTTCAAAAGAAGAAAGGAACTTCAAAAAAAAAACCTTGTGACAAGAGTGCAGAAAACATCTTTTCAAATACAAATCAAGTTTCATTACAGTCAACATCACTGGGCCCTGCAGAAAGGAATCTCCAGTTGTCCCAAGGTCACCTGTGGTCCTTCATTTCTGCAGTTCCTCCTTCATGTTTACAATAAAGTCACACTATCAAGCAATGTCAACTTTCCTTCTGGACATCTCTATGTACTCCTGGCAGGAACTACCTCTTTTGATGCTTCCGGATCATTTTTGCTAAGATGTTAATGTTAATTCCCCAATCAGAGTCAGAACATTTTGATGGAGGCCAGGTGCCGTGGCTCAGGCCTGTAATCCCAATACTTTGAAAGGCCAAGGCGGTTGGATCACCTAAGGTCAGGAGTTCGAGACCGGTCTGACCAACACATCTCTACTAAAAATACAAAATTAGCTGCATGTGGTGGTGGGTGCCTGTAATCCCAGCTATTTGGGAGGCTGAGGCAAGAAAATTGATTGAACCTGGGAGGCAGAGGATGCAGTGAGCCAAGATCATGCCATTGCACTTCAGCCTGGGCAGCAAGAGCAAAACTCTGTCTCAAAAAAAAAAAAAAGAAAGAAAAAAAGAGAGAAAACCCTTTTTGATGGGCTACAGTACTAAAAGGCTAAGAGTACATAGCTTATGGATGTTAGCAGATTAGCTAACTAAGTCACATCCCCAAGATGTTAGGATATTCCCAAATAAACATGAGGCAGAACACTTGATATTAGGGGTCAGGTTATGTAGTCAGATAGAGTACATTCACAATACACAGGCAGCATCAGACCCAGGGCTCTATATTATGATATATAACGCTACAAAAAATGAGTTGGCATACCAATACATTTTTCTGGAAGGTAGAATAATACACACCTAAGACTACCGAGTCTAAGATTTAATCATAAATATGCACAAAAGTAAACAATATGCCACAATTAAGTTATATGGAACATTCACTTCTAAAACCCCCATATTTGAGGAAGCTCCTTTTATACAGATTATACTGTCCAGACAGTTCCTCTAAAATAACACTTATCTGAGATTTTCTCGGCAGGATATTAACTGTAAAAAAGTTTAAATATTTCATTCTGATGCCTCTGCAGTTTATTACCATATGTGCCACTTTAATCGGGAAATAAAACATGGTTGCAGCTTCTGCTTCATCAATACCACATCCCCACTAGACTTCTACATGCTGCTTGTTATAGTGTTTTAACACACAATAAACAAAAATCTGTTTGCCTGTAAGGCCATATAGGCCCAGTTAATGAATATTTATTTATAATAAAGACTGAATAATACAATTTCTTCAGAAACTTCATGTTTTGGCTCCAAATCATCTACTACTATTCCCTTCAACACATTCAATTCTGGGAAAAGTTGGTCAGGCACAGTGGCTCACTCTTGTAATCCCAGCACTTTGGAAAGCAAATGCAGGTAGATTGCTTAAGCCCAGGAATATGAGATCAGCCTAAGCAAATGGTGAAACCCTGTCTCTACAAAAAGTACCAGAAACACTTAGGTGGTGCGGTGGCATGGACCTCTAATCCCCGAGACTTGGGAAGCTGAGGTGGGAGGATTGCTTGAGCCTGGGCTGTGGAGGCTGCAGTGAGCAAAGATTGCACCAACTGCACTCTAGCCTGGGCGACAGAGTGAGACCCCGTCTCAAAAACAGAGAAAAGAACAGAACATTCTGGGAAAAGTCTAGATGTAACCTAATTTCCTTAAAAGTATATACAGCAAAACACAGCGGAAATTCTGAACTTCCCTAACTTCTTTCCATTTTCTTTTTGCCCAACAAGAAGTCGTGATGTGACGCTGATTGTTCCCCCACTAATCCAGTTTCTGCACTGCCCCCAGAGATCGTGTCACTCTTCTGCTTAATATCCTTCAAAGGCTGATAGTCACTTACAGAATGAGATCTACATAAATGTCTCATTTTCCATACAAAAGCTTTCACACTTGACTCCTGCCTCTCTCTTTCCACTTCCCACTCACCTAAGTGATGAGCTGCTCACAGTTAACTCAAAATACATTGTGTTCTTTTAGGTCTCTGTATCTTGACACATGCCTTTCCCAGGTCTCCCTTTCCCAATCTATCTTTCTATAAATTTTTTGCTCTTCTCTCAAGCCTGCTGGTCAGCAACCCTTCCTCTGTGAAGACTTTCCTCACTGCTCCATATGACAGCAAGTGCCTTTCCAGGCTCCCATTTACCTGTACCTATTTCCATTGTTGCACCTTACCATGCTCTACTGCAATTTTTAATTTGCTTGTCCATCTCTGTTATATTAGTGCTTCTCAGGGGTAGGATCTACATCTTATTCATCTTTGTATTTTCAGAACTTGTCCTATAATAGAATGTGTATTTGAACAAATTATTTACCTAGATGAATTTTCTAGATTGCTTTTACCTACCTAGTAAAATCACATATATCTTATTTTTTTTTTTGAGAACTACAAGTACGGGCAATCAGAGGACATCAAAGAGAGCACCTTACCTCACCTTTATAATGAAACACTACATCTGTCATCGATGTATTAATTTCATGATTTTTTGCTCTATCTGCCATTAATTCATGCAATGTATTTAAAATATATTATCACACAGACTACTTGAGCTCCATCCTAAAAATAATAGCCATTACACAGAAAGGTAAATTCAATACATCAGGATGAATTCCAAATAATTAAAGCACATCAAGAGAAGCTTGGTATGTATGGGAAGGAAAAAAAAGGAAATAAACACATGTAATCATACTATTAACTAAGGTCTAGGAAAAACCAAAAAAGATATTACCCTGAAAATTTTAATACTATGTACCCAATTAGGTTGTCTAAACACATAAATAAGTGATTTCCTTAAGAGATCTCAGAGTGATTATGACTTGGGCCTGAAGTGAATTTTGATAATAGTTAGTTTAGGAGGCTACTATTAACAAAGTCTCTAAAGCAAGAGTTTGAAAAATAGGGTAAGTGTCAAGACAGGAGCATTAGCTCTTCTGTCCAGTCAGCCCTTAGGATGAGGCCCCAGAATTGAGAGTCGATGACTAAAAATTTCAGGAAGCTAGGAGGGAGCGAGGGCAGAAGAACAGCACTACAGGTGCAGGACCTGGAGTCTCCTACACTTCCTTTAAGCACCTGTATAAGGGATGCTGTTTGAGGACTCTGTACTTTCTCCCAACTTGCACTCTAAAACTGATTTAATGGAGATGTCTTAACTTAGAAAGTTAAATCTCCTCTAAATACTGTTAGGCAATTATTTTAAATAGGATATTGCATTTTCAATACCCTAATCCACTTTACCTAATTTCAAAACATGTCCTATCCTCTCTCAAAAATACTACAGGGTTATATTTTAAAAATATATGAAGATGGGCATGCTGGCTCACACCTGTAAAGCCATCACTTTGGGAGGTCAAGGTGGGGGGATCACTTGAGGCAAGGAGTTTGTGACTAGCCTGGGCAAGTCTCCATCTCAAAAACAAACAAAAAAACCAAACAAAAACCATTAGCTACGTGTTATGGCATATACCTGTAGTCCTAGCCTCTCAGGAGGCTGAGGTGAGAGGATCACTTGAGTCCACGAGCATGAGGCTGCAGTGAGCTACAACAGTCCCACTGTATTCCAGCCTAAGTGACAGAGTGAGACTCTGTCTCTAAATATATATATACACACACACCAAAGAGTATAAAATGTATATGTACAGTTTTAAAAGTTATTAAACAAACACCTACCTATTCACTATTCTGCCTGTGATACAGAACATTAGTCACTCTGAAAACTCCTGATGGGCCCTTATCCTAATACTATATCCACACCCACTCTGCCTCCTCCTCTCCTGATAATCACTATCCTGGATTTTATATTAATCATTTCTTTATTATCTTACCAACTACGTATAAATAATACATTGTTTAGATACATATAAAACCTGTATAGCCCTATATATATACTTCCACAACTTGCTTCTTTCACTCAGCTATGTTACAATTTATCCATTTTGATGGATGTAATTTCAATTTATTCATTTTTTTCATTGCTTAATTACATTGGAATTTATATATCCATTCCACTGCTGATGTATGTTTGGAGTGTTTCCATGTTTTCCATTCATTTGCAATGCCGGTATAACTTTCTTGTCCATGTCTCTTAGTGGCCATGTACAAGAATTTTGTAACAGTGGAATTATTGGCTCATAGGGTTATGCACATTCAAATTTACTAAGCACTGCCAACTTGTTTTTACAAAGTGGTTACACTAATTTCCACTCTCATCAGCTGTGTAAGGTTCCTTCAACTTCACATTCTGGCCAGCTTTGTTACTGCCAGACATTTTAACATTTGCCAAGCTGGTGGGTGATGAATGGTATTGTGGTTTTAAATTGCAATTCCCTGGTTATTAAAAAGATTGAGTCTCTTTTCCTATGTTTATGGGCCATTTGTGTTTCTTCTTCTGTGAAATGTCTGTTCCTATCTTTGTCATAGGGTTGCAATGGATGGCCTTTTTTTTAAACTGATTTGTAAGAGTTCTTTATGCTTTTCGTATTTTAATCCTAGGAAAGTTATATCTCACAAACAACTCCTATTTTGAGGCTTGTTTCTCATTCTACTATGTTTTTGATGAACATCTTTAATAACAGCAGTCCCAATTTAGTAATTTTTTCCTCTACATTTTTGTGCTTTTTGTACCTTAAGAAATATTTCCCTTCCCAAGGCTATAAGGTCTACTCCTACACTGCCATCTAAAGTTTTATAGTTTTCACTTTTTAGATTTAAGTTTGAATCTACTTAGAAATAATGTCTCGATAAGTACGAGGAAATAATCCAATTTTGTCCTACACTTACTACTTAATCATTTAATAGTCCATTATCTAATAAATGGACTATTTATTACATACATTCCTGCTGGATATATATTCTATTT